TTGTGTAAATGAGAAAATCTGTAGAGTCAGAAGAATGAGGTGGGAACACAATATGGAATACAAAAAAAAAAAAAAAAACCCTCAAATGTATTTCAGAAGAGTACCAGTCAGTTGAAAAGCATGGGAGGCAGAACTTACTGAAGTATGTTTTAAGTAGGGGGTATTTTGACCTTAAACCCTCAGACCAACGGGAAGAGACAAGCAGGGGCTAATTCCCAGTGGTAAGGCTGCTCTCTGCACTGACCTGCAGCCATATTCTAGGCTAAGTACTCATTCTCCCTGGCGGTGGGAAGCAGGCTTCTCCGGGTTAGAGAGGAGAGGCAGGGATATCAGAAGTGGGAACTGGAAGGAGGTGCTGGAGTGTTGGACCGAAACCGGAAGTATCAGAATACATGTATTCCTCTCCCCGTTCATTCACTCACTCTCTCTCTCTCACACACACACATATATTCGTTTTGTTTTTCAGACACAGACTCTTCTTGTCTATATAGCCCCCAAAAGGCCTCAGACTCCCAGCCCCCCTGCCTTAGTGTTCTAAGTACTGGAATTATAACTGTATAGCTCTTTACCACGACACCCTGCTTGAATCTGTGATTTTCAACATATGAAGGCATGTGTGTGTATGTGTGCATGTGTGTGTATGTTTCACCTCTGCTGAGAGACCCGGAAGCAATGATGGTCCAGTAGCAATGAACCAGCCTTGAGCCCAACTCAGCGTCGATAAATGAGGCCCTTTTCCACCGAGAATAGCCAGGGCTGGAACAGAGAAAATGTAACAAGCCCCTGAAACAGTAAGAAAATCTAAGAATCGTAGAGACGGAGGAGGGAACCAGTTTAGGGAGCTTTTGGCTCCTGGATGCTGCAGGGGAAGAGGGAGTCATCGTCCTCACCGTGAACCCTCTGGGGGCGTCTACCAGTTTCAACCAGTAGTTCCTTCGCCCAAGGTCACACTGTGATTAAACTCAGTGGCTTGAGGGGCTGGAGGGAGGGATGGCTCAGAGGTTAAGAGCAGGTGTTGCTCTTGGAGAGGATCCAAGTTTCCTTCTTAACACTCACCTAGTGACCTACAGCCATCCTAACTGCAGCTCCAAGGGATCCAATGCCCTCTTCTGGTCTCTGTGGGTACCAGGCACACATGGAACACATGCACACATTCAGGCAAAACACTCATATACATAAAACTTATAAAATCTACAAAAAAAAGGACATGAACGTGAAAAATGGACTTGTGGAGGAGAGGAGGGATTGAAGAGGGGGAGACGAGAGAGGAGGGGGGAGTAAGCAGAATGTATCCATGCACTGTATAGATGAAATTGCCTATAAATTTAATTTTTAAAAAAGCCAGTATGTCTAACTCCCTCTGGGTAAATCTGAGAATTTTTACACTAATACTAATAATGGGCGATTAAGGCACTAAATGAACCAGATTCCAAACATCTGTAAGTAAAGGAACCAATAGAATCAACTGGAGGGGACGCTCTTTCCGCTGTAGAACACAGCAGAGAAATGGAGAAGAAACGGCGGGGTAGGGAAGCACAGGATGAAGGTTTGGAAGACTGGACGTCTTCCTGTTTTGATACATTTGATAGATTTATCAACCATAAGGTAGAAATAACACCCACAGTGGAGAGTTTGGGGGGGCATCATCAACCATGTGACCCAGATCAACAAAAGAAGCAATGCTGAAATCACGTGTTACTTGGCACCTGCACTGAGAAGGGTATAAAGTCACTTTTGAATGTGACTGTCAGAAACAAACAGCTTCGATCTCAGTGTGACAGCAGACAATACCAAACTGCGAACTCTAAAACAGCGGTCTTTGCTTTAAAAAAAAAAAAAAAAAGGCCAAGGCTACTAAAGACAATTGCAGAGTAACCAGGTTAAAAAAAAAAAAAAAGCCAGAGAAGCCAGGGGGTGGTAGCACTCGCCTTTAATCCGAACACTTGGGAGGCAGAGGCAGGTGGATCTCCGAGTTGATGAAGTGAATTCCAGGACAGCCAGGGCTACACAGAGAAAACCTGTATCAAAGAAAGAAAGGACGAAAGGAAGGAAAGACGAGCCAGCCAGAGAGGTTAACCAAACCCAACCAATGTCTGATCCTCATTTGAATTGAGGAAAGCTTGTTTCTAGTGAAGGACATTATCTGACAAGTAGAAAACTATAAACAGCCGGTGTGTTAGATAACACTTCTCAGCTGTGCTCACTTCTACCATGTAAGGAGATGCCCTTGTCCTTAGGACACACACTGAGGTCTGTAGGGGCCAATGGGCAACGGCTCTGCAATACACGATCACATGACTCAAGGGAAATAAAATACAGGTGTATGGGAAAGGGTTGTGTGGGGCTGGAGAAACAGCTTGGTGGTTAAGAGAACTTGCTGCTTTTCTAGAGGATCCTGTTCAGTTCCCAGCGCCCGCACTGGGGGGTTCACAGCTGCTTATAAGCCCAGCTCTACTGGATCTGGTGACCTCTCTTGGCCGCCTCAGGCGCCTATGCCGCCCACGCCTGCACAAAATCTAATTGGTCTTAATAATAAAAATCCCAGAGTCCGATATAGGGGCTAATGCTGAGAGATCAGAGAAGCAGAGCAGAAGACCACTAGAGAGTCTTCTTTAGAGGCAGGAAGGGGAGAAAAGCAGTCATGCGTGTGCACGTATATGGATATAAATTCATGTGTGAATGTGTGAAAAATCGTGACTCGAACTGTAGCGTCTGGGTGGTGAAGAGTATATTGGATTTCTTTGTTTTTGTTTTGTTTTTTCAAGACGGGGTTTCTCTGTAGCTTTAGAGCCTATCTGGAATTAGATTGGGAAAACCAGGCTGGCCTCAAGCTCACAGAGATCAGCCTGCCTCTGCCTCCCGAGTGTTGGGATTAAAGGCATGTGTCACCATCGCCCGGCTTCCGGCTGATTTCTTTATACTATTCTTAAATTTCCCTGTAAGGCTGAAATTATATTAACATTAAAAATTATGAGCCGGAGGTCAGGCATGGTGGTGTACATCTTTAATCCCAGATATCAGGAGGCAGAGGCAGGTGGAAGATCTGAGTTCCAGGCCAGCCGGGGCTGTACAGTGAGATCCTGTCTCCAAAAATTTTAAAAATATTACGGATTAACATAACAGTCTATACTCTGGCTGAGCCTGGCCTGAAGTGGCTTCGTCTTCTTATTAAGGTGGCACACCTACTCACTACAGAATAGGCCATGGCTGTGGTAGCTGCACAGCACTGAATACACCTGCCTCAACCCTGCGTTCTTTGTAATCTCTTTCCATTTACTGAATGGCCCCTCTGGGGTGGGGCGATGACTTGATGGGCGGACAAAAGGACTTGGTGCGCAAGCCTGACCTAATTCGACCCCCAGAACCCACACTAACGCAGTGGCGGGTAGCCCTAATCCCAGCACTCCTGCAGAGAGGTGGGAGATGGGGACAAGAGAATCGGCCCAAAGCTTGCAGACCACGTAGCCTGGAGTAGAAACGACAGGAGAGACTGTCCCAGAAACAAGGTGGAGGGAGAGAAAAGACTCCTAAGCCGTCCCACTCCAACCACGTGCCTGAAGGACCCCTTCTCCATATCTGTGTGTGTGTATGTGTGTGTGTGTTTTTTTCAGAAAAAAAGGGAGGGAGGAAGGGAGGGAGATAAAGGCTTTTGTCTTTTTTAAAGCATTTATTTGTTTGAGAGCATCTCCATGCCCACTTAAACAAAATGAGACAAAATAAAATTTTCTTCCCTAGTTGCTTCCTGTGGAGGATTTGGTCACAGTGACTATCCAATTTCCAGCACCAGAAAAAAAAAAAAAAAAGGCATGTAAAGCGCGAATGTGTTTCATCAGACAACAGAGCAAAGCCGGACGGAATGGGCACAGTGTGCCAGCTGCCAGCAGAAAGAATGGAAATGGGCATCTAAGAACAAACCTGTCCCGAGGAGGAATGCCACCGCTTTACTGGCCTAAATAATGGGCAACTAGAAGCATTGAAGTCCCAACTAAGGACAAAATGTAATTGTTCTCTCTGAACAAAAAGTTTAACCGCAGAAGCAGAAAACACCTAGAAAAAGACAATGGAGTGCTTAATTCTGGGACTGCCTAACCCTATTGAAAGTGAGCCATTTTGGCCGCAGAAGTTCAGAGCTACTGATCAGGCAAGCTAGGACATTAATGATAAGTGCGGAGCCAGAAGTGATAGGATGTCTGGGATTTATATCAAATAATAAAAGAAGAAAGTGTGAGGATGTGGAGGAAGGAAGACAGACAGCTCAAAAGTCAATAGCTCTTGGGTTGGTAGTGTAGCTCAGTGGGCAGGGCACTAGCCCAATGACCCCTGGTCCCCGTTCCCACCTAAGCGGAGAACCAGGCGTGGTGTTGCATGCCTGTAACCCCTGTACTCTGCAGGTTCAGACAGGAGGACTGTCAAAGCCAGTGTCTGTCCGTCTGGGTTACGTAGTGAATTCCCAGTCGGTCCTGAGCTAGAGAGTGAGAAAAAGAAAACTACCCATAATAAAAAGTTTGAAAGCAAACAAAACCTGGCTGGGAACGACAAAATCATTGTATCTGAGAGATCACTCCTCTATCTTCAGGGTTTCCTAAAAATAAGATGGGTGGTTGGCTTTAGAAATGGTTCGGCGGTTCCGAGCTCGGGCTGCACTCCTAGCGGCGGGATAACCGAGCTCCAGAGGACCCAAAGTCCTGCTCTGGCCTCTGAGGGCACCAGGCGCACACGTGATACATAGACACATAGGCAAGACACCCATACACATAGAAAATAACTTTTTTAATAATAATAAAGAAAGGTTTTGGACTGGAGAGATGGTTCAGTGATTCGCTGGCTAAGATGTACCGCTCTTGCAGAGGTTCCAAGTTCAGTTCCCAGCATGCATCATGGGAGGCTCCTGAGTGCTGTCTCCAAGGACAACAGCTTCACTTTTGTGCGTGTACCCACACATAAGCACATAGTTAAAAGAAAATGTAACTTACTTTGTAAATCAAAAAAAAAAAAAAAAAAAAAAAAAAAAAAAAAAAAAAAAAAAAGAAAGAAAGAAAGGAAAGGATTTCTTGTCTTTAAGAATAGTACCCATGCCTCAGCTCCTCAGATCGCCGGGGTTGAGCTGCGCGTTTCCGAAAGAGAGCGGGTCAAAAAGATTTGCGCCTACCTGGACCTCGCTGATTGGGCTGCCAGTTGCAGATCTGTGTTCAAGATGAGTGGACTAGGTGAGAGCTCCTTGGATCCGCTGGCCACTGAGTCTCGGAAACAAACACCATTGCCATGTGATGCTGCAGGGCAGGGTCTTGCCTACGGTGGTGAAAAGCGGAGACAGGAGGAGGAGAGCAAATACAAGAACCGGCTGAGCTGACACCTGCACATCTTAGCGGTGCTGACAATTTCAACGCCAAACCAGATAAATACGCGATTTTAAAGGACGCAGTGAGACAGGTACATCAAGGAAAAACTGTTTCCAGCGATGGTGATGCTCAGACAGCTGACGTGTCTTCTACGGGACAGGCGGTCACTGGTAAAGATTCTTTCGGACGGCTTTTACTACAGGCATTGGGCAGTTTTCGTTTTGCGGTGGATCGACGGGGCAGCATCGTATTTGCGTCAGAAAATAGCACGCAGTATCTGCAGTACAAGCAAGAGGACCTAGTTAACACAAGTGTCTACAGCATTTTACCCGGGGAAGGGAGGAAAGGACTTCCTTCAACACTTACCCAAATCGATAGTTAATGGAGTGAGTTTCTTGGACTAATGAGGCCCAGAGACAAAAAGCCATCCCTGTATACTGATGAAAACACGATATTTTGAAAGACATGAATACCAGTCCTGAAGCTCCCAGGGATAGGAAACACCGCAGTTCTTGGCCCGCCCTGTCTCAGCTTCCAGCTCCGTTGGAAGCAGGGCAAGACTAGCAGTGCTGTGCAATCTGCGCGGCACACCGGGTAACTACAGGGGAAAGGGCCTTCCTGCCAAGTCTGGGAGCCTTGGTACCAGGCGTGACCTTTCAGGAAAGATTGTCGATATAGATACAAACTCACTCAGATCTTCCATGAGGCCTGGCGTTGATGACACCATCCAAAAGTGTATCCCGAGATTCTTCAGTCAGAACGTTGGGCATTCACGGTCCCAGAAGCGTCACTATTCGAGTCCATGCTGAGACCCCATCGCTTCTCGTTGGTGGATGGAGCTATCGCGAGGGCGGAGACAAAAAAGCGGTCTTTTCAGAAATCCTGGACCGAACGATCCAATGATCGTCATGGCTTCCTCTCCACCCACTTTCTTCAGAGGTGATGTCACTAAATGTACCCACACACTCCGGACGCTTTGCTGTTGATATGCAAAGCGAGAAAAGGCAGGAAAGTTGTTGGGTTCCATGAAGTGAATTGAGAGTCTTAGAAATGTTTTAAGGTTATATTTTTTTATCTAAAAGCTAGTATTTTTCCACTAAATAATTGCTTCCTGGGTAAGGCTAGGGTGTGGGGTGTGTGGAGGAGGAGGGCGAGGGTGGTGGTGTGTTGGGGAAATGGTGGATACCTCGTTACCTTTTATTCTAGTGGCATAGTTACATTGCTTCTAGGAACTGAATTGAGAATAAAAATAAAAAAGAATGGTACATATGTATTTTATGTACTCTTTGTATTAGAGGGCTTTCAAAATGAAAACTAAAATGAACTATGCCAATCCTTGTACATCAAATATAGTAAATAATATGGAACAGATGTCAGAGTTTTAAAATCCAGTTTATTGAGGTTGGAGTGTAGCCCAGTGGTCAGTGTTTGCCTAGCACGGGGAAGTCCCAGGTTCAACATTTATCCATGTAGCTTGGAAGGGACCAAGCATTCCTCTTTCAAGAAAATACGAAGGGCGGATGGTGGTGGCAGTACTCCGGAAACAGAGGCAGGCGGATCTCTGGGAGCCTGCCCTACAGAGCGAGTTCCAGGACAGCCAAGGCTACACAGAGAAAACCCTGTCTCGAAAAACCAAAAGAGAAAGAAAAATGAAGAAATTGCCTTGGCTTCCGGAGAACACCTGCGCAGACAATCGGTCACCCCCATTTACAAGCACACGGCTGGACTGGAATGCCTTCGATTAACCGCGGTCCCGTCTTTCGAGGAGTATGCTCCTGTACTAATTCATTCTCGATGAAAACGACCCAGCCCTGTCTTCACACGTCATAATGCTTGGCCTATAAAAACGATCTGCATCAAGATAAAGGTGTTTAATTCTTCTCGCATCGGGTCTCCTACTCCCAGTATTTGTTCTCGTTTCGGGTAAGGGATGATGAAGAATTTGTTTTCCAAGCCATCAGGACTTCAGACAGCTAATGATTATCCACCACTGGCCCTTGGAGAGAGAAGCTGACTGGAGAGCCTCAAACACATCAGAGTCCCATCCCAGACGTCGCTCAAGAGGTTGTGCAAATCTAACAAGAACCAGACGCACACGTCTAGTAGCTAGAGACTGGTGCATATCATGCAATTCATAGACGGATGGCTACTCAGCCGTTACAGTGACAAGATGGTTTGTCATAGGCCCCACTCCAACCTTCCATCTCATATCACCCCCAGAGGTAGCCAGCCTTAACGTTCTCTCGACATTCATCCCAAAATACGCAGCCATTCAAAAATTTTTATGCAAAACGATCACACTGTTTTTACTGGGTGTATATGTGTGTTTGTGTGTATGTGTGTGTACAGACAGTTACGGGCCATATGGTGAAGCACACACATAATGGCAGTTTTATAAGACTGAATAGACTTGCCAGATGTGGTGGTACACACCTTTAATCCCAGCACCTGAAAGACAGAGGTGGATGGCCTGGCCTATGTAATGAGTTCCAGACCATCCAGGGGTACACAGGGAGAGCTGTTCTTAAAAAAGCAAAGCAAAACAAAACAAAAACAAAAGTGGCCTAGTGACATCATATCCATTTTGGATAAGAACACTGAACAATGCCTGCATAATAAAATCACCTGACAACCTGTTTCAGAACGTATTAGCATTGTTAATTGATGAGTCAGGCGGGTTTCCTCTATCCTGTAATAATATATTGACAGCATATTATGTCTTTTCCTGTGTTTTTTAGTCATTTGGATTCTTTTCGCTAATTATTTTTGTAAACTTCTAACCTGTAGATGCGTTTGTCAAACTTTGGAAATATTTGTATGTGTGTGTGTACATGCAAGTGCCCGACAGCCTGAGGTGGCAGAAGAGGGCATCAGATTCCATGGGGCTGGACTTAGGTGGTTTTGAGCCGTCTGATAAAGGTGCTAAGAACTGAACCAGGTCCTCCTCGAGGCAAGAGCAGTCGCCCACCCAGGCATCTCTCCGGCCCTGGTCTCGTTTAACACCAGGTTGTTCTTACAGCTGCATGACTTCTTCTTGAACTAAGTCTGTGTCTCACGTGTGCTCTCATTTACTCTGCCTTCCTTGCGTTTGAGAAAATGGACAAACCAAACTGCTTTCTGACAACAAGCCCATGCTGTCTTGACCTCAAGTGTGAACCACCTCAGCCTCCTGAGTGCTGGGATTAGGGGATGATGTGTATGCCTGGCCCTGCTTTTAAAAACATTCTGGATTTTTCCTTCTATCCAACATACTGCTGAATGGCTCAGTAGTAGATCAAGAGCTTGCCGGTGAGTTGGTGGCCCGAGTTCCGTCTCTGGGACCCGCGAAAAAATGGGAAAGGAGAGCCAGTCCACAAGGCTGTCTTGTCACACGTTCCTCCCGTAGCCTTCACCTACATGATAGAAATACATACAGATTTCTATCTCTGTAATTCTGGGTTCTGATTTGGAAGGCTTTCCTTACTCCAACATCATACATTTCACATAAAGAACGAGGCATAACCTCTTTCTAGGGCACAATCCACCTCTCTAGCAGCACCTTTAGAGCACACTGCTGTGCATTTAAAAAAAAAATCTCTTTTCAGGGATTGGGAGAGGGGATAGCCCTGGCTGTCCTGAAACTTGCTATGTAGACCAGGCTGGCCTCGAACTCAGATATCCACCTGCTTCTGCCTCTCAGGTGCTGGGACTAAAGTCACGTGCCACCACTGCCCAGTTCCAGCTTTATTTTAACTAACACCCCCTTTGCTGATTTCCCTGAGCTGTAACACTGGCTGCCGATTAAAACACTAAACGGAAAAACAGTTGCCTGGGTTTCATCCAGGATCTACAGATCCAGTTCCGTGCCAGCCTTCGCTCATTCCCCAACCCCTAAAGATACCATAGAAGAATTTGGCAAAAGGGGCCAGCAAAATGGCTCATTTGGTTAAAGCAGTTGCTATGCAAGCCTGATCTACCTCACACGGTGGGAGAACCAACTCCTGAGAAAACTCCCCTGACTTCTGCATGATATAACGTGTAGCAGGTGCATATTCTCTTTCTCTCTCTTCCTCCTTCCCTCTCCGCACCCCACAATAACAAAATTTCTTAAGAAAAGTAAAATGGGGGGGCTGGAGAGATGGCTCAGTGGTTAAGAGCAGTGCCTGCTCTTCCAAAGGTCCTGAGTTCAATTCCCAGCAACCACATGGTGGCTCACAACCATCTGTAATGGGGTCTGGTGCCCTCTTCTGGCCTGCAGACATACACACAGACAGAATATTGTATAGATAATAAATAAATATTTAAAAAAAAAGACGAAATAAAGAAAAGTAAAATGGGGCTATGATTATGAATAGGCAAGATGACAAACGTATAATCCACACACGAGCTGATCCTTGTGAACACAGAAATGCGAACATAAGGGAGAAAACAAGAGGTGCAGGCCCGGAGAGACAGATTTTCAGGGCGGAGAGCACTTTGCTCTTCAGAGAAGTCAAGCTCGGTTCTGAACACTCCAGCTATGCCTGACAGGAGCCGGTGACCCACCTCCAGTGGGGACAATGCCACTTCTTCTGGCCTCTGAGGTGAACCTGCACTTGTGTGCATGCCCTCCCCCAGATACATAAATAATCAAAACATAAATCTTTAAAAAAAAGTAGGTGCGACTTAGTTTTATCTAAGAGACAGACCAACAGGAAAATGGCAGCTTCAGCGTTGGCAAGGCTGCAGGAAAGAGTGGGATTTTAGCTGAGGGAGGACTTGGAGGACACCTTGGCGCTATCTGGTGGAACTCTGAGCACACGTGAGATTTTAGACCCCTACAGGTAATTCGCCCATGGGTCCCCAAAGCTCTACTACCTAACAATCGTTGATTCTCCCCAGTGTGCCCCAGTGCAAACTCCTTCTCCTGACACCTATGCTCTATGCTCATTAAACAGTTCCATTTAAGGACAATCACATGCCCACCACTGAGATGATTGTTAAGCAAGGAAAAAAGCAAAGCTCAGAGTATCGGTATTGGCTATTAGCTCATGATCCCAGGGAAGTCATCCTGCAGGACAAATCAGTTCCGCTAGGTTTTCATTTATAATGGGAATGAGGGTCTGAACCCCGGGCACCTAGGACGGGTTTTCAACCTGTGGGTCAGGACCCTTTGGGGGCCTAATGATCTTTTCAGAGGGGCCACATATCAGATATTTATATTATGATTCATAACAGCAGCAAAATTAGTAATGAAGTAGCAGTGAAACAGTTGTATGGTATGGGGTCACCCTAACATGAAGAACCGTATTAAAGGGTCACAGCATTAGGAAGGTTGAGAACCACTGACTTAGGAGGAAGAGGCAGTGATTTCTGTGAGTTCAAGGCCAGCCCAGTCTACGTACCGAGTTCCAGGCCAGCCAAGGCTACACAATGAAACCGTTGCAACAAATAATAAAAAGGTTTTCTATATCTGAGTTTGAATAGTTCTACATTGTTTGAATTTTGTTCTTCTTTGTTTGCTTATTCTTTTACTTCATTTTGTTTTTGTTTTTACAAGACAGAGTTTCTCTGAACAGCCCTGACTGTCCTGAAACTTGCTTTGTAGACCAGGCTGGCCTCAAACTCACACAGCTCCACCTGCCTGTACCTCCTGAGTTCTGGGATTAAATGCGTGCACCACCACCACCAGGCTTGCTTATTTTAAAAAGCCGGTATTAGGGGCTGGAGAGATGACTCAGTAGTTTAAAACATCTGTTGCTCTTGCAGAGGACTGGGGTCCAGTTGCCAGCACCCATAACTCCATTTCCTAGGGATCAAACACCCTTTTCTGACCTCTTACGGGCACCAGATATACACATCATGCACATATATGTAATCAGGAAGACACTCATAAAATAAATAAATCTAAACAACAAACCAAAAAAAAAACCAAAAAAACAAAAACAAAAACAACACAGTGGTAGAGTACTTACTTCCTAAGCATGTATGAAGCCAGGAGTTCCATTACGAGAATGTTAAAGAATAAAAGGAAGAGAGAAGGGACCGTGGAGATGGCTCAGTGGCTAAAAATATTCACTATGCAAACATGAAGACTTGAGTTCGAATCCTCCCACCTACATAAAAGCAAGGTCCAGTTGCAGGACCCTGAGTTGGGTCGATCCAGAGAGCAGACTGCAGAACCCTCAGGCTTTGAGTTAAAGAAGGGAATCTGTCTCAAGGGACCAAAGCTGAAAGAGGCAGAGGAAGACACTAGCTCTTGCTTCTCAATGTGACACCCGTGTACCCCCACCCCACATATACACAAACGGAAGAGTGAACAGAAACCGTGCAAAAAAACAGGTGGGGTGAAAATCTAGTAACTTCCAGCATTGAGATCTTGGGTGTCTCTGATCTTAGGTCAAATTCCGACCTGCCAGAAAGACAGGAATTTCTTGAGAGCCAGGCAACAGATGCCCAATACCTTGTTTTATGTCTTTTAGCTATGCTATAATTGGATGTGTTGTTCAAGTTATCTTGATTTTAAGAAAAATATAATTTATACAATAATTTGGATATTAATGGGAACATTTAAATGTCTCAGAAACTATGAAGCACAATGAAGATACAGGATGTTGAAAGTCACCAGGACACGGGAGGCAGAGGTACGCGGATCTCTGTTTGAGGCCAGCCTGGTCTACAGAGTGAGTTCTAGGATAGCCAGGGCTACGCGTAGAAACCCTGCCTCACCCCCGCCACCCCCCAAAAACAGCTGTTGAAACTAAAGTAGATTAAGACTGGGCTCAATGAGTTGGTTCTTTGTTCTGTCCCCCGGAGGCCAAAGGCCATCATCAGAGGAAAACCAAGATCTCATCCCAAAGGCAGTAAGAGATAGTTTATTCTGAGCCAGATTGGAAAGTGATCGTGGCCTGGGAAACCCGAGTTTGGGTGGACCCCAGAGACATGGTCCACCACGGAAGTTATCATGTAAACTGTTCATCCACTGGTGAGGCAAGTCAGAGCAGGGCAAGGAAAAAGTCTCGGATGCCACAGAGTTGGTGGGAGCTGCCGGTCGGTTAAGTGATTATCTTCTAAAGGTTTTAACTGATAGCCCAAAGAGGCAGGTTAGACGCGGAGTAGGCGATGAATGACTGGGGCTGGGACTTGAGATAGATCAGGACAATTGGGCTCTGCATATCCCAGCTCTCCCCAACCAGACATTCTAATCTGGCAACCAGTCCACACGAACCACACTGTGTGGCTTTTTCAGGGAACTTCAGTCCAAATCACCCAGGTAAATAAAAGTGACTTCCACTGTGGAATGAGAATGAGTGGTGTGTGTGTGTGTGTGTGTGTGTGTGTGTGTGTGTATGTGTGCGGACTAACTAGAAAGTGCTCAAAAGCAAAAGCAGCCCTGACAGCTGCCTATACCTGAAGAAGAGAATTACCTGATAATGTTGATAAGCTCACAAGATGGCTGGCCCTTGAAAAGACAATGACTAGCGTGCCCCCCCACCCTCCCCCACCCCCGCCCAGATCTGAGCTGTGACGATTGCAGGTCCCCTGTGCAGTGTTTGGAGCCCAACCTACACATTTTATAAATATCAGCCCTTGCTGGGCTCCAAGCAAGAGATCCGATGACCACGTGAGTCAGCCGTCCCCCAACCCCGGGCCAGCACCTGATGGCAATCACACCCAAGCAATGGTCCAGACGAACAACTCCATCACTTGACAGGCCTAGTACCAATAATAACAAACTTGTTGCTACCGGCCTCTTCTCTCGGCTTTCCCAAGTTTGTGCCATTTGAATCTCTGCCTGCTCAGGGTCTGCAGACCAGGAAAATTATCTTTTAACAACTCTGCTTGGCTTCAGGCACCAAACGGGACTGCGTGAACGGCAAAGAAGATGAATAAATAACAAATAGTGGTGGAAAACGTCTGTCGCTAGCCTGTGAGAGCACAAGGCCACCGCTCGGTTGTACTTAAGCAATTCGATGAAAAGGCATTTTTAAAAATCCATTAAATAACACGTGGCAGCAACTACTAACCCAAAGTCAATTGAATCAGTGACGCGGAAGAGGCCCCGAGACTTTCAGAGTGACACAGCCAGAACTGAAGCTCGTCTTTCTGCAGACAGCGGATAAAATATATATATTGCTGGTGTTACAAGCTCGAGCTGGGGGGTGGGGTGAGGGTGGGGGTGTCGTTTCCCTTTTCTGTAGCTGTGCAGAGCGGATGCACACTGTCCTGCAGGAATGCGAAGCTCCTAACGAGCTCCGCTCCGGCCGCAGCGGGGGAAGGGGCGGGGGAGGGGCACCATAAGGCTCCAGCTGATCTCAGAATCCGGCCAGCGCGCTCCCCGCTTCCTAACGGCCTCGAAATGATTTACACGAGCAGAAGGTGTGCCTTGGCGGGGTCCAGCTGGCCTTCGCGTCACGGTGAGTTTTATTCTGCGTTTTTTTTTTGTTTTTTTTTTTTGGCCCTTCCCGTGCTCGTTTGAAAGAGGCTTCTACTACTTCTCCCCACCCCTCCCGCCGCTCAGCCCTGTAAAGTTTGTTTTCAAACCGCTAAACCCGGTTTCCATTTCGGCTGCCTGCGGATCGCATTCGTGAGCCAGGCTGACTTGGAGAAAAGAAAAGCTACCTTTTGTGTACATAATGAGAGCCGCCGCGTGGGCGCGGGTAACCGCCGGGAAAGGAGCGTTTCGGCCTCGCGCTGCCGCGGCTGGGTTTAGCCGACCCGAGGCGGGTCCCGTGGAGTGGCCCCGTAGCCACGGTCCCAAGTTAGCAAACAGAGCGACTAGGCAGTCCCCGCCGGGCCCGAACCGGACTCTTCCTGCCACTCACGCGGTCCAGCTCCTCCTCCTCCTCGCGTCTTTCTTCCCTCCTCTCCAGAGTCCCCAGCGGATGTGAGCCACCAATCCCAGCCACAAACAACCCTTCAAAACCAGACAGAGGCGGCCCTCCAAACGGGCGGCCCCCACCCCGCATCACATCAGTCCCGCACCGGGGCGCAGCAGCTGAGTCACCGCCGGCCAGGTCCCGGAAAGCTCTGCGACCCGGGCAGTTTGCAGAGGGGGGGTTGCCAGTCGCTGGGTTCTCTCGGTCTCCCCAGACACGGTCCTACAACCGCCTTCTGCTTTAATTTCCGCGCGTGCACTCTGCAAACCACCGGGGAGCGCGCGGGGTGCGGTGGGGGGTAGGGCAGCTTTAAGGTCCCTGCCTCTCAGTGACGCTTCCCGCAGTTGGTTCATTTTGGAAAAAAGTATCCCAAGCTTCCTTAACTCTGGGTTTTAACGCACTCCCCTGAGGGGTTGTCTTTGGGAAGGGGGCGCGGCGAAGGCACGCGTTAATTTCCAACGTAATCGTAAACAGACTCCAAAGTCTAGCGGGTCATTCTGTGGCCGCCTTAGTGTGTGACTCGGCTTTAACCTTGTTTTCTCCGGGACGTCTCCTCCCGCCGGATCTCCACCGAGGTCACAAAACCAGAACAGCCACAGAGTCGAAACTGGAGACAGACACGGGCGCTGACGTCGCTGCTCGGCTTATTTACGTTTGGGGTTTTTCTTTTTTCTTTTATTTTTTTTTTTTTTTTTAAGTAATGGGGAAAGTCTTCTGTGACATGTGACAGTTGGTTTGCTGCCTTTTTTTTTTTTTTTTTTTTTAAACTAATGGGCATAGGTGAAAACTAGACCCAGAAGTGCGGACATGCGCATCTTGAAATCAGCCAAAACAGCATCTGGGTTGTATTTGGGGCGGGGGTGGAGGGGATTCATAGTTGAACTCCTATTGGAGCTTTCCTCTCAAGCAAAATAAACCAATAGGAACGAGTGTGTACTTAATGGCTAGTTTCTGTTTGAAATACTGAAGGGTGAAGGGGGTATCCTACGGTAGGGATTGTAGCCCACAAAGTTAGACACTGTTTACCGAAACGGACGAGCAGCCCCGGCGTGGTCAACCCTTTTCTACAAAGGTGGGCGGCGGGGGGGGGGGATTGTAGCGGGGCACACACGCGCCCCAGTCATCCCCAAGCCCAGACGTTTAAAGACCACGTGAGCATGACAAGTGTCTATTCCCAACGTGTTAGATTTCGAAACCGTCTTGCAATCCAATCCGGAACTCAGAGCCTGGGGGAACAGACGTTCGCCTAGGGTGCTTAAGTTTGTGTCTCATCTCCCCCCCCCCGCCCTCCACTCCCACCCCCGCGCCCTTCACCTCCACACACACCTCCCACTGTCAAGAAGAGTCCACGAGGAGAAGGGTGCGCCGCGCCCGCGTGTCAATGGCAGCTGCGCCTACTGGAAGAAGTTGGTTCTTGTCCGGAATACTTTTCCTCCGGTGCCCCACCCCTTGAATCAGCAGCCGCTGCCTCTTGCGGCTGGAGCAGGGACAAGTGGAGTTTGGGGCAGCTGTCAAAAACAAGGGTGGGGGTGTCTTTTCTTCTCTGGGATGGACCGGAGTGAAGGAGGAGGTGTCCTTAACTCTCTCCCCATCGGTTGCAAACTAAAAGCACTTTTCGCCCCGGGAGGAAAGGCCCCGGAGGAGAAACCGGTGTGGCCGCCGAGGTCTGAGGGATGTGGACGGCGTTAGCGCTCCAGGCAGGCAGGCATGACCCTGTTTCTGGGCTCCGCCACCCCAGAGAGGGACCAGTGACCGCGGCCCCCCGGATCAGGGCTGTTGAGCTGGAAGGTGCGGGGGAGGGGCAGAGGAGAGGCTGGGCGGGCGGGGGACTGGGCGGGCGGCTGGGGGCGGAGGCAGGACCTCCTGTACCTTCCCTCTGCTCTCTCACTCTGACAGCGCCGAGGTGCGCGGAGTGGAGCGGGAAACAAAGGAGTTGAGTAGGGAGGGGAGTGAGTTGGGCCAGAGAGAGCCCCCGGCTGGCTGCCAGAAGATCCTGGCTGGAGGAAGCCCAAGTGTCACTTGAATTCCAACCCAGGAGTCGGCGCCTGGGACCCAAGCACCTTGTGTAGCAATAGTGGCTGGAATACTCTTCTGTAAGTTACCGGAGCGCCAGTAAAGGAGGATCATCGCCCGCCCCCCCGCCACTCCGACTGCTGGCCCCTAGAAACCCCAGCTTAACCTCTCGCTGGGACGGGAGTTCCAGAATGAAAAGCAAAAAGGGTAAGGTTGCGGCGGGCTGTGAGCACCCGGGGCTTCAGTGCGGGACATGTGCGGGCCGTGCTGGATCGGGGGACACTGACTTGGTGGACTTTTCCGCCCAGTGGCACCCGGGCCGGAGAAGTGGCCGATCTCTTTGTTGAGGCTGTGTCTCGAATGGCAGTTGCTGTTCTTTTCCTTCTAGACACAACACGAGGGGCTGTTGTGGGGAACAGCCTCACCACGCTGCTGGCACGTTGTCAAGAAACACGCTCGGAGCCTTGTTTGTGCGCCTCCAAGTTTCATTGTCTTCACTGACACCCCATGCTCGATCCAGCCGCCGCGTGGTCTCTAGTGCTGTTTTCTGGGACGGGGTGTGGGTTGGGTGTCTAAGGGGCCCCTCACACCTCGCTTTTCCCTGTGGGGGGTCGTTGGCTCATTCCAGCCACCTTACCTTTTGTCTAAAAGTTCGGTTCCGGGTGCTCTCACTCCCCCAGACCACGGTACTGTTTTTTAGGGATGTGGTTGGTTTTTATTTTTATTTTTTCACTATCAAAAGAATGTGATCCAGGACCCACACATCATTCTAGGGCGAGGGAAGCAGGACTTTTAAGATGACTAGCTTCTAAAAGTTTTCCCACGATGAATTTAGCACAGCCTGAGCTGTTAGAACACTAGGACCATGCAGTCAAGATGTGTTCAAGTGTGACAAGCAGGCTTGGTTGTAAGTGCAGAGAGCGAAACTGTCATTGTTTCCACCGAGCTTTACAACTAAAACTTGCCGTCAGTCTGGTTTAAAAACAAAATACACAGGGGAGAGGGGAAAAAAACCCGAAAGGTCAAAAGCCTGTGAAGTCCCTTTTGACGCTAACTTTGGAATCCCTGTCTGGGAGGTCCCTCGAGTGTTCAGTCGTGGACTAGAGTTGGCTTTTCTGTTGTGATTTATGTGGGGTGGTTCAAAACAGAAGTTAATCGCTTGGGGAAGCTGGCGCTGGGGGGGGGGGGGGGGGCGCTGCTGCGCATGCCCAAGAGCTTCCTCGAGTTTGTTACTCCACATTCTTTCAGACCCAGACCGCCACTGCAGTTCCAACGACTGCAGTTCCAACGGAACACAGTTACGGTGGCCACCTCCCGTACGCAGACACCCCGGGGTTCCTCCCCGCTCTCTCCCTTATAGAGTGTGCTGATGTAATTCCGTAGGAGACCCTGAAACATACGGAGCTCATGAAGACCCCGGGTGCTTGGTTAAGTAGGCCGCCTTGCCCATCTCCATCCCGGTATAGCGAGAGCTTGGGCGCTTAGAGTTGGAAGAGTGTAGCTGAGCTTTGGGGAAGGCTTCGGGATCCTCTGCAGAGTCGTGTCACTCTGACGAGACTGACAGATGTAGACCTGGTGGGAGGTGTTGTGTTCCAGTAGCAGCTACATGAGGTGTTTTGGTTTTGAGTGGTTCTCGGTGCGGTGCGGAATGCGAAGCCGGGATTCCGTGGGTGGGGAGGGGGACCAGCTACTAGCCTCTTCCTTCTTGGGTGTCCCCTTCCTTAGATGCAAGGTCTGGGGAAAACATCAGAGGTCCCCAGCCCAGAGCGCGTGGGTCCCGCAAGTCAGTCCCCAACTCGTGGAAACAATGAGCGGTGACGTGTTGGAGGGGAAACTTTGCGGCAGCCGCTTCAGAGCTTATGGTGGAGCCACTGCGGAGGTTGCTCGGGCTCCTTTCCCTTTTTAGGTTTCCCCAGCACATGGTCTGAATGGGGGCAGAACCCTTAGGCAGTGAGCCCCATTGTTCCAGCTTGGTTGCTAACTTGTACAGTAGGGGTTGAAGGGGTTGAAGAACTCCCCAAGAACAAAAGCTGCTTGCTCTCCTCCGGCTCCTCCCTCTACTGCGAGCCTCTACAGCCCTGCCTTCCCACTGCCGGAGACTACCTGGAAGGGGAGGGCAAGCTTTCCTTGTCCTTGGGCCAGGACTGCTTAAACCTGCCCGCCTATTGTGTGTCTTAGGAAAGTCTGAACATCTTTCAACTTCAGAACAAAGACTGATCTGATAATAAAGTGCCTTCGTAGAAAGCTGAGACAGCCCGAAAGAGCTCCCAAAATGGCTTCGGAACTGGCTGGGAGAAGGCTCGGCTAGGAAACCCCCAAGTGTCCTCACGGGGTCTCCAAGCCCCTTTGAATCAGTTTAGGGCCGTGCTGCGCGCTGTGGATTTAGTGACTTGGGTGTGAAGTTCCATCCGAGTTACTTGTCCAAAGGGGAGACTTGTTAAGTTTGTTTATCCTTAAACTTTTCCTTTGATCTTTCCCTACATTCTTTTTCTAGTCTCCATTAGATCTTTAAAACCCAAGCTCTCCCCCCCCCCCCCAACCTTGTTTCAGAGGTTCAGAAAAAGAAAGTGAAGAAGCAAGATTTGCTTCTTAGAGCCATGGGATCCACAGGCCATCTTGTGGCTTTCTGAACAACATTTCCTTGTATGTGGGTAGAGTAAGAGGCTTGTGATTCTGTCCCACACCCACCTCTCTCCCTCCCCAACCGCATTTTTTTTCTTTTTTTTTCCTTTTTTTTTTTTTTTCAAAAAGTGTAAGCAAAGCGAGACTATTGGAAACAAGTCCTGACCGGGAAACTTTTCAAAGGCTCTGTTACAGTAGGAAATGAGTAAGGAGGAAAAAAGCCTGTGTTTTTCCAAGCCGAGCCACAATCGGGAGCGAGTTTTAATGAAAACAGCCCTGACAGTAGCAAACGTGGTCTAGCAACGCTGAACACATCAGCTGGCCCGCCCAAGGCACCAAGTCTTAAACTTCCTGTTCCTTCAGCCTTTGTGCATGCTTTGGAAATGTTTGTAAAGAAGGCTTGATTTTCTTTTTCTTTCTTTCTTTCTTTCTTTCTTTCTTTCTTTCTTTCTTTCTCTCTCTTTCTTTCTTTCTCCTCCCTCCCCCTCCTTTTCCCCTCCTTCCTTCCTACCTTTTTTTTTTCTTTCTCAAATGAACAGGGGCGGCAGTTTGGTGTTGCTTAACTGAAACCTGCTTTGTGTCCTTAGACCTATTCTGAAAGATCATGCATGCTTTTTGTCAAACTCGAGTGATCAGATGAAAGGGCAGGCTTTAGGGGTTTTTTGTTTCAAGCACTTTGTTATTACCAATTTACAGTTGGGAATTAACTGCTCAATGAGCGAGTTTCACACTTTTTCCCCTCCTAGATTTAAAAAGAGGGGGGCAGGGAATAGAGTGCCTGGCTTTTCTGAAGTTGGGGGAGTTGAAGCAAATTGCTTTATTCAAATGCTGTTAGTTACCCAATTAACCTGACATGTTTAAGAGTGAGATTTCCTTGGTTATCAAAGCAAATGTGAATCAGGAACTCATTTATAGTCGAAGGTGGTTTTTTAAAACGGTTTTTCACCCAAATTTCAATATGGGACTTCTAAATGTTCTCAAATTCTGTACAATGAAAGTGCTTTCGTTCTTAAAAATTGCCCTTTCTTTAGAGTTTTTTTTTCTCTCGAAGCATTAATTGCATTTTTAAGAAGGGACACTTGAATTGCATGGCAGTTAAAAATGGAGGGTTCTTGTGGTTTATTATGGCAGTTTGTTAAGCCTTAAGCTACAGTGAATTTGCAAAATCATCTGCCTCTTTTGTTAGAACTTGCTTTTACTTTGTCTGGGGGATTTGGGCTTTTCCTGTAGGAATGCCTTCTAGCACCTTCTGCCCCCTGCAGGCAAAGCTAAAAATGTGTCAACAAAGTCAGTCTGCTCCTGGTTGTAAAATAAATTCCTTTAAAATTTATGGAGTTGATGTTTCACTGTGAAGAATATTCTGTTTTTATTTCCTAGATCAATAAGAGAACTCAATTAAGTTCAAAACTCAAAAAAGCTATACAAAACTCAGAAAAGATACATTTTTGCAAACTTTCCCCTCAAATAGAAAGTTTCATATATTATAAACTTTACATTGCCTGACTTTTAGATTTAAAAGCAATTACTAGCATTTGTTAGATTAAACGTCTTAAGGTTCAAAATGACGCTAAAATGTCTGTAAAAGTCATGCTGGCCTGAATTTTCATTGGACTGTGATTTAAATATTCTGTAGGAATTCTTAACATTTCTGGTAGGATTAAAGCATTTACCACCAAAATGGTTTCCTCTGTGGGTTGCATATTCAATTTTCTTTGTCATGTAAGAATTAAAAACTGATGGGCAGGGTAGCATTCTAGGTTCATATCTAATTGACAGCGTCGGGGCCATCGAAGTACATAAAAATGTGCAGTGCTTGCTTCACAGCAAATCTTTCACAAAAGAAGAGAAGCATTCTCAACCTTAATCACTGGATAGTGTCTCTAGGTAGCAGTGACCTCAAAGACAAGGTTGTGGGATACATTCCCCTTCCTATTTCAAGTGTGAAGACGTCTTACTCCCTTTGAGTGCAAGTTGGCTTTTCTAAGCATCATGTTAGAAAAAAAAAAAGTTTCATCTCAATTGGGTATAGCAAGAAAGACTCTGAGAATTTTGTTGGTTGAGTGCCTGCCCCATGACAGTGGTAGTCTGACTGCTTCTCCAGATCTTTCTATGGAGACCCTGGCTCAGACAGGGGATGGTGTAAGCAAGTGAGCTCTGAGGTGGTAGCCCTGCTGGTGACAGTCAGTGACGTGGCCTTGTCCTCTCGCAGGCCTTGTTGCGGCTTCTGGCAGCGAGACTGAGGATGAAGACAGCATGGATAGTCCCCTGGACCTGTCCTCTTCAGCGGCCTCTGGCAAGAGAAGGAGGAGAGGCAACTTGCCCAAGGAGTCTGTTCAGATCCTGCGGGACTGGCTGTATGAACACAGATACAACGCGTATCCCTCCGAGCAAGAGAAAGCCCTGCTCTCCCAGCAGACACACCTGTCCACACTGCAGGTAAGCTGAAAAGCTAAAGGTTAGCGCCAGGACTTCACCCCTGCACTGCTGGGCTTCTACCACCAAGCCTCCCCCCTAACGCGTGCATACGCTTGTTTTATTTATCATCAAACACTTTCTAGCATTCCCGTGTGTCATTTCATTAAGCTCTCCCCTCGTCTAGAGAAAGCGAGAAACAGAACCTTTCCATTTCAAACTTCATAGTGTGAAAAGCTAATAATTGGCTATTTATAGAGGACAGAAACACTTGGCACCAGTCGGTCAGGAAGCATTTCCTTCAGTGCCTGAAAGAGCCTATGCAATGTGTATTGAAAAGGAGGTTAAACCTTACTCTATTGCCCAGGAAACTGGTTTGATATTTAAACAAGGACAGACCTCAGTGAGGTAATTCGTGTTATGTCTGTTGACACAGTCATTTGAACGGAGAGAAATCAGTTACTGGGGGGTGTGGCCTCTTTTATACAGGAAAAGCTTTCCTGTAGTTGATTAACTTAAATGCTAGGGCAGTAGGTAGTAGGTTGAAGCAGACTTAAAGGTGAACCTTCCTTAAAGTTATTTTCAAGTACTTGAGATCTTATGCCTTTCCCTTGGTCCTGAAAGGGATTATGGATGATGATACAACCATAGCAAATTTGTCCTCAGGGCAGGCTGACTCCTCTTGAATGCCTTGCAATAACTTGTAAGTCCCTCATGGCTGTTGTTGGGTTCCTCACCTGCTAGGCAAATGTCCTACCATCGTTTGAACCACCTCCTTAGTCCCAGATAAGCCTTTTATGCCTCCTTTAACTCAGAGAGAGAGAGAGGAGAGAGAGAGAGAGAGAGGTCAGTTAGGCACCCAACACAGGATGTTTTTCAGAACCTGTTTGTCGCATGCACAGAGAAAGTATTGAAGCAGATCCCTGTGATTTCAGGTCTGTAACTGGTTCATCAACGCCCGCCGCAGGCTCCTCCCTGACATGCTGAGAAAGGATGGCAAAGATCCAAATCAGTTCACAATTTCCCGCCGTGGGGCCAAGATTTCAGAAGCTAGTTCTGTGGAAGCTGCCATGGGTATCAAAAACTTCATGCCGGCTCTAGACGAGAGCCCGTTTCATTCCTGCACAGCTGGACCCAACCCAACCCTAGGGAGGCCAGTGTCTCCCAAGCCTTCCTCCCCAGGATCCATCTTGGCTCGCCCATCAGTGATCTGCCATACCACTGTGACTGCAATGAAAGATGGCCCTTTCTCTCTCTGTCAGCCGGTTGGTGTGGGACAGAGCACAGACGTACAGCAAATAACAGCCAGCAGCTTCACAGACACCTCTCTCGTGTACCCTGAGGACACTTGCAAATCTGGACCGAGTCCAAACCCTCAGAGCGGCCTTTTCAACACTCCTCCCCCTACTCCGCCGGACCTCAACCAGGATTTTAGCGGATTCCAGCTCCTAGTGGATGTTGCACTCAAACGAGCGGCAGAGATGGAGCTGCAGGCCAAACTCACAGCTTAACCCTTCTTCATCCGAAACAGTTCTCCACAATACGGTCCTGACTGTCAGAGTGATGGCAAGAGATGCATTATTTTATATATTTTTCTATGAATATTTGCACATGGGATTGCTCAAACGAAGCTTCCTGTTACTAAGATGTCTTCAATGGAATGCAGCCATTCATTCCAAGAACTACAAACTAAAGCTACTGTAGAAACCGAGGGTTTTCTTTTAAAAATGTTTCTTGGTAGATTTTTTCATAATGTGAGATGTTCCCAATATCATGTGATCTTCTCCCCACTCTTTTTTTTTTTTTTGATGTTTTTTTCCAGACTGTGCAATACTTAGAAGCCGTAGCGTCTTTCTATTTCCATGTGGAACAGAATTCCCACATACAGTCTAGTAAATACATTTTCAGTTTTGTTTTTTTTTTTTTATTTTAAGATTCAGGCAAGTATGAATCTAGTTGTTGGATATCTTTTCACGATGTAATAAAGTATTTTCTTTAAAAGTTATTGCCACGAGGAGTACTTTCTTGAAGGAAGCATTTAGAGCCCGGCAGGAATACCGTACACCCACGAGCAGGAAGTGGGGGGGCAGGGAGGAGTGTGACTTCGAGGTGTGTGTCACTGCTTTGAAGAGCCGTGGACAACAAACCAGTATGAATAAACAGGATGTGTGATATTTACTCTTGATTGGAGGCGGAGCTGGCCCTTCAGTCTTTGCGTAGATTGGCAAATTGCACCGAGGTACCAGCATTTAAGTATCAGACATCACTACACACATCAGTAGTGAGCCGCTGCATCTCTCAGACAGGCCCACATTAAATGAAAGGCTTCAAGAAACTGATCATAGCTTAATTTTTCACAAGTAAACAGTACAAGCAATTTTCATGTCTTTCTAGTATTAATTCTGGTGATACAGGTGGTACAGGCTTTTGCATCTGCACATAGCACTCCTTTGTGGAGCGGTCACCTTTGACACGCTTTTAAAGCGTTTTCCAGGATGACGGCATGCCCGGGAAAGTGCTGGCTCTGATGATAACTCTGAGTTTATGAAGCTTTCCAGGGTCATAAGTTTGAAAAACTGGTGCCATGTACAAGTGGAGTTTGTTGGGACAGGAAATTCCTTACACTTACAAAGCCTGGCTGGTCAGAAGGGAGTTTGGTCCTGCTCCTCTCGGTTGTCACATACCACAGAACTGTTCTGACAAAGTCATGCTTAGTGTGAAGTTCCTTTGTTGCTAAAGCCCTGTCCACTGTCCCACGGCCTGAACTGTCCAAAGTCTGAGGGTGCATCACCGGGCTTCTCTGTGGCGGTCTCAAACAGGAGCAAATTCTCACACAGTGAAGTTTACCTAAGTGTGAACGTGGCTGCTATAGAAAACGATGCACTCCAAAGGTTTCTCTGTAAGCAAAACAGACAAAACTTGACAGTGGCCAGCCTAGAAGTATAACAAAATGAAGAAAAAGTCTTCCAGCCAGTGGGGTTCTGTCAGATGGCTGCCTGGCCATAGGACGAACGAATTGAAGGTGGTTAAAGAATCGTGCTTATGTCAGAGCTGGAACAAAGGTCACACTAACTTTGCTTTAAATCCAACCGCCTCTCCATGTTATGGTGTTATTCTCATTAAAAGACAGCGAAAAGAACCCCAAAACTAAAGCTGGGGAGGGAGGTAGCTCAGGACTAGAGTACACAAGGCCAGGCCAAAAAATGGCAAGGTTAAGGGTCAACGAGACCTGAAGCCCACGTTTTATGCGGTTTTCCTCATTTGCACTCTATAGATCCTACAATCGCTGATGTAGAGTGACTATAAGCCATTGTGTGGAAATGTGTAACTCAAAAGCTTGTATTTCAGCTGGGCATGATGTCACACCTGTAACCCAGCCTCAAAACAGGAGAATCATAAGCTTGGAGCAATCCAGGGTCGCTTTGTTTTGTTTGGCTTTGTTTTTTGCTATCTCATAGGGTGTATATAATCGGGTCTCTGGTCTGCCTTAGTCTCTTTGCACAGAATGTATTTCCAGCACCATGGCCAGCTATCTGTTGATAGTCTGTGTCTGTCCGTTTTTCCCTCCTTTGTATTCCTCCATTTTTGCCTTATTTTTGGTTTAATTAGTATTATCCAGTATTTTGTCTTTAGTTTGTTTGAGTAGTGAACTATACTGTATATTTGTTGTATTTTTAGAGACAGTAGATTGACTCTGAACTACATCCATCTGTGTCTACCTCCCAAGTTCTGGAATCAAAGGCATTCACCACTGCACCCAGCTGTACTGCTAATTTTGCGTGGATATTGCAGGGATTACAACGTTCATCTTTAGTTTATTGAAGTCTCTAGTAAGGTCTGTCCACCTAATCTGATTTTCTCTTTTGTGTCTGTCACAATGAACATGGATCTGTATATAGGGAACTCAACAATACAGATAGAAGTTTGGCTTAAAAAAACAAAAACAAAAAGACCTTGAGCTTGGCCTGGCTTGGTAGACTATGCCTTTAGTCCTGGCACTAGGGAGGCAGAGGCAGGATGATCATCGTGAGTTCCAAGCCTGCCAGGGCTCCATAGTGAGACCCTCTCTGAAAACATAAACTTTGTGGGGAAACCCAAAAAAAAATATATATAATAATACTGGTTTAGCCTTTCCAGAGCCTTCCGTTCTTTCCTGTAGATTCAGTGACAGCTAGTGTCCTTCTAGGCTGGGGGAAGCTCCTACAGGAGTGTAGTGTGAAATGATCCAGCGGGAACCCAAACCCGGGTAACCATAGTTCAGGGCTCAGGCTCCCCTGGAGAGGATATTTTGTTTTTTTATTGAACTTCATTTCACATTTGTCTTGGCAGGATGCTTTCCCTGACGGAGAGTTTTAGGTTGGTACTTGTCTTCCCTTGGCGTGGATAAGGCACAGACGGCCTCTGTCCCCATTCCTCTGGAGGAGACACCGGCTGCCATTTCTTTGGCTTCTGCAATGGGGTGTATTTCCTTAGCTGTGTTGTTCTGGAACTGCAGTAGTTCAGCCTCAATGTGATTAGCTGGGGTTTTCTTCTGTTTTCATTCGGTTTTGTTGCTCGCTTTGCTTTGTATTGTCTTGTTGGAGTTTATTGAACATCTTAGATGTGTAAGTAAAATTAGGGAAGTTTTGTCCATTAGGTTTGTTGGTTTGTTTTTTGTTTTGTTTTGTTCTATTTTGTTTTTCAAGACAGGGCTTCTCCATAGCCTTGGCTGGTCATTTGTTTTTAAAATACATTTTCTATTTTCTTCTCTTCGAAAATGCCAATAAACTTATACTAGATCACCTGAGATTGCCTAACATGTTTATGAGATTTATATATCCACTATATTTCAAATTCAGCTTATTCTCTATCTTCAGCCTGCTCTTGGGTCTATCTCAGGTCTTTTTTATTTACATATAGATTCCCATTCGCTGGAGATAGAACCCATGGCTCATCCATGCTCTCTCTGCAGGTACCTTACCACTGAGCTACACCCGAGACTCCCATCCGATTCTTTGTTTTGAGACAAGGTCTCACCTTGTAGACCAGGCTGGCCTGGAACCTGAAGTGATCTTCCTGCTTGTTTCCCGAGTGCTGGTATTAAAGGCGTACACCATCACACCCTACCTTAGTCTTATTTTTGAAAACTCATCTCTGTTCTACTGTGACCATTGGCTTATTATTTATGTGTAAGCAGTTTCTTTATCTGTTTTACTTTCTATTTGTGACGTGTATGTAGGTCAGAGATTGACATCAATCTTCATTAATTGATTGACAATTGTTCTCAATCCCTTTATGTTTTATTAACTGAGCAGGGTTTCTTCCTGAACCCTTCCTTACCCCGAGGCTCATGGGCCCGAGTGCTTGGATTACAAGTGAGCCACCATGCCCGCCATGCCCACCTCGCTTTCACGGTGGGTACAGGGTTCTGAGCTTCTGTGCTCACACTTGCATGGCACGAGCTCTATGCCCAGGCCCTCACAGGCTGTTCATTATCACAGCCTTAAAGCACGTGTCTGCCAGCTGTACTGTGTCATGATAGACCAAGTCTCTGTTGGCAGCCTTTGCTTCAGTAGGGGTCAGCTCTGGGGGGCCAGTAATTTTTTTTTTTTTTTTTTTTTCAAGACAGGGTTTCTCTGTGGTTTTGGAGCCTGTCCTGGAACTAGCTCTGTAGACCAGGCTGGTCTCGAACTCACAGAGATCCGCCTGCCTCTGCCTCCCAAGTGCTGGGATTAAAGGCGTGCGCCACCGTCGCCCGGCTTTTCCCAGACATTTTAAACCAAGAAGGATGCAGTTAGTATTCAGCCGTTGCTAGTGTGTGAAGAACGGAGGTTATCACGAGTCCATCTTTAAATTACCTCCTCTTAATTGAGACAGTCTTCCAGTTTCTACCGCCTTTGCTCACCCTTTGTTCAACTATTTTGAGGAGGGGGGTATTTATATATAAAATAGTTCCAGCTGGTCTCCCGACCCACTATCCTTAAACTCAGCTCCCTGGTCCGACGCTAGGATTATGCAGGTTTGTGCCACCAGCTCTTTGTTAAATATTTGTTTCTAGTTTGTAGTTGTTAACCTCGAATGCTGTTGGTCTAGAGAAGACTTCCCCATGCTGGACATTAGAATGTTACTGTCCCTTTAAACTCAAAATCAGCAGGCGAGGAAGGAGTTAAATATCTCAGGCCTGCTTAGACAAATTCTCCTGTCTCAGCCTCGTTATTAGTTGTCCACCACCACGCCCAGTTTAAATTTTTTTTTAAGGTTTATTTTATGCCTATAAGTGTTTTGCCTGTATGCCTGGAGTCCCAGGATTTCAGAAGAGGGTGTTGGATCTCCTAGAACTAGAGTTACAGGCGGCAACAGTAAGACATGGCATGGATGCAGGGAACTACGCTCAGGACGCTCTCTTAACTGAGCTGTTTCTTCAGCCCCCCCCCTCCGTACATCACTTTTTTTATGTGTTGGCGGAGATGTTGGTGTTCCAAAAACGGTTCTTCTGTGTAGCCCTGGCCATCTTGAAATTCCCGCTGCAGACCAGGCTGACTTCACACTCACAGAGACCCATCTGTCTCTGCCTCTGAGTACTGGGTCACCGCTCCCAGCTACCTAAGTCACTTACTTGAATATTAGAATCACCTTGAAAATTTTCAAAACTATTTTGGCCAGGGGCTGGGAACTTTTTTTTATTTATTTACATGTTAAAAAAGCTATTTATTATATTTTATAGCTCGTCTGGGAACTCTGCCCTGCTTAATTCTTAAATTTCCCTCAGTTTCTTGAGACACTGTCACATGTAGCCTAGATTGGCTTGGAGCAGAGGAGGCAGGCTCACCCTGCACTCAGCACCAAACCCAGAGCCGTGCGCTGGTTCTGCACTGTTCTACCGAGCTAAGGCCCCCAACCCTGTTCCTCTTCTCTCTCTCTCTCTCTCTCTCTCTCTCTC